CAATTTAAACACCCGAACGCCGCACAATATTTCTTTCTCTTTATGTCCATTTTTAAATAATACTTCGATCATAGAATTAGGTACTACAACAACGCACGCCAGCGTACTGACGGGCGCGCGCGTGACACTCGACTGATATAATACCCGCCGGAGGGGCGCTTCGCTGTAGGTAATTATCGGATGTACCGCGCGGAGTGAGCCAGGCCTGGCCTTACTTAGCTTAATAACAGAAAGTTTACTGCTCCATAATCCTACTAATATTATAAATGCGAAAATTTTGATGTCTGGATGTTTGTTACTCTTTCACGCAAAAACTATTGAACGGATTTTGATGAAACTTTACAGTATTATTGTTTATAACCCAGATAGGCTATAAGCTATAATTTATGCCGATCTGTGACACTAAATTTCACGCGGGTGAAGCCGCGGGTATAATAGTTAATAGTTCCAACTACAGGAAAATAAAATAGCAATTTGCTGTTAAATTAACGTTGCTTTTTTCTTGCAGGTGACGCACTGGCACTCGCCCAGGTTCCACGCCTTCTACCCGACAGGCGCGTCATACGCGAGCGTGGTGGGTGGCATTCTTGCGGATGGCCTCGGCGTCATTGGTTTAAGCTGGGTTAGTATTGATTGTTCACATAAAAATGCGGTTCCTCATTGGAAATGTGCCTAGTAAATAACAATAAAAATTGCGATATAAGCTGCTGATAAACGAAAACTAGAAGTAGGTAATTAAAAAACTTGTACTAAGGAAAACTCATACGAAAACTACTTTACCTAGGTACCTTACTTACATACAAAAAGAGACTTCTTAGTCTAGAATGGTTTTCCTCACTAGCTTAGGAAACTCAAACTACAATTAAATTCCTGACTTTTCTAGAGATGGCAGCTTTTACATTTAATTCTAACCCACCACGGGAACTTATTTTTTTTCTTTTTCCTTCAATGATCAAATCAATGATTTCCATCAGTCCATCACCTATCTTTTTCATTATTCCTCGTTTTATTTTGAGAAACTTCTCATATTTTCTTCCTAAGTAGTAACTATAATACCTATGTAACTATTATTTTTTCCCTTTCTAGCTATCCAGTCCTGCTTGCACTGAGCTAGAAGTGGTTACAATGAACTGGCTTGGTAAAATGCTCGGTTTACCCGAAGAATTCTTGAACTCTTCGCCTGGACCAGGTGGTGGAATTATTCAGGTCAGTAGTGTAAAATATAAACACTATTCTATAACACTGAATAATCAGTACATACTTATTGAGGTCTTAATTAGTTATTAATTTGAAGTCTGTCTCGATTACTTACCTACTTACCTAGGTACCTACTCATTCGTGTTAAAATCTTTTGCAGGGCTCTGCAAGTGAAGCGACCCTTATTGGCTTACTGGTTGCTAAAGAAAGAACTGTGCGAAGGCTCTTGAAGCAGAATCCTAGCCTCGACGAAGGTAGCATCAAAGCAAAGCTAATCGCCTACACATCAGACCAGTGCAATTCCTCGGTGGAGAAATCTGGTCTACTCGGATCCATGACAATGAGACTACTAAAATCGGATGCTGACGGAAGATTACGAGGAGACACATTGAAAAAAGCCTTTGCAGAGGACTTAGCTCAAGGTTTAATACCATGCTACGTTGTCGCAAATCTTGGTACCACAGGAACATGCGCTTTTGACCCCCTGTACGAGCACGGACCAATTTGTAACGAATATGATGTCTGGCTGCATGTAGACGCCGCTTACGCCGGGGCAGCGTTTATTTGCCCTGAATACAGACACTTGATGAAAGGAATCGAGTTTGCCGATTCTTTTGACTTCAATCCACACAAATGGTTACTTGTGAACTTCGAATGTTCGGCTATGTGGATCAAAGACGGTCTTGAGCTGACAAAAACGTTCGACGTACAGAGAATTTACCTGGATGACATAAAAACAGACACGAAAGTCCCCGATTACCGGCATTGGCAGATACCTCTGGGACGCAGGTTCAGAGCATTGAAGCTGTGGACAGTTATAAATATTTATGGAGCAGAGGGACTAAGAAAACACATTCGTAATCAGATAGACTTAGCGCAGCATTTCGAAAAATTAGTCCGTAGTGATGACCGGTTTGTGGTTGACCCTGAACCATCTATGGGCCTAGTATGCTTTAGGCTGAAAGATGGTGATAAAATAACAAAATCTTTATTAGAAAACTTGACTAAAAAGAAGAAAGTCTTTATGGTAGCAGGTGCTTTCAGAGGTAGATACATAATTCGATTTGTAGTATGTTCTCGGCTTACGAAAAGAGAAGATATCGACTTCAGTTGGAACAATGTCAAGTATGAGGCTGATCTGATCTGCAAGCCAGAAATTCATAATAAATTTAAAATTCCTGTATTAGAGCACATCGAGACGATTACCATCTCAGAGAAATCGAAATAGATGGTAGGTAAGAGATGGTAAGTAGATAATAGAAATAATACGAACTTCAGTGATTCGTAGGTAGTTACTCGTATTTTTACTAATTTCATTAGTAACAGTAAGTTTTGTACAATTACTTAGTGAAACATAATCTTACGAGTAGGACCAATTATTTCACGCAAGGACTATTGCAATGAGTTGCAACTATCCAGTAATATTATAGCATAAAATTACATCGAAAGAACACATGCTACAAATTCATGACAATTTTGATGAAAATAGAGGCAAGATTTTTAAATTGTGACGCCTGCGGTAGTGCAGTAAATAGTTACTCGACTTCTATAATTGTAAATTAATGCTAGGTACATAATCTACTTATGTACATGTTAAATCTACTACGTAAACTTATATTATGTGTGAAGATTATGTAATAATGTGGGTACCTTATAAATCGTGAACCAGTTGCCTACATTTTAAATAGTCAAAATTACTTAATTATTTAGCTACAATGGTACCTACCTATTAATAGTAATAATAAGCTGATTGCTTTTAGAATAGGTTTAAATAAGTGACTGTGATACAATACGAATGTGATTTAGCGACTTTTCCTTTCTCATTATGACGTGTGCATTCGACGTTAACCCATCGCAAATACAATAAAATATTTCTTTTCTTAAAATTTTTATTTATTTTACTTACCTTCAATTTACAACCCTGAATCTTGAGCTGTGGGGTAGATCAATTATTTTGAAAACAAAAAAATTGCGCTCTTGTGAGCGTAGTAAGATGTGATTTCGAAATTTTCGAATGCACCAGATGCGTTGGAAATTTTGCATTATTGTTATTACTATTAAATAGGCGGCATCTGATCCAGATCAAAGGAGCTGTGCAAAGGAGTTAGTCCAGTCAATGAATGCCTTAACGACGGTGTAGAGAGAAATCCGTGGAACACAATTTCTGACCTCGGGACTTTATTTAGACTAGTTAGGAGGAGAACATAGTAAAAGTCCCCGCCCTTAGCCCTTGAGCCGGCGGGGAGAGGGGGGTTTAAAGGTACCACTTTTCGGTTTTTCGCTTAATCCTCGGAAACTATGCATCCTAGTGACATGACTACTATGAACCAAAAAAAGCTTATTCAATTTGCTACAGGTGAGATATTCAAGTTTTTCTATATCTTGTATAGTTTTCGCGGCATCTGCTCTAGAAGGTCTGTAATATTGGAAATTTTATTTTTGTCCTACATGTTCCCATCAGGTGAAAATCGACTTAATCAACATTGAGCAAACATTCTAGATATGCGGGAGCATGTTAAGCCTAGTTCCAGGGAGGGGACTGTACCGTGCGTATATATATTTAGACGAACCATTTGCAGCCACTTTTGACTCCTCATCACTCAAAAACTACTGTGCGTTAAAACTTCAAATTTGGCTCATGTGTTGAGACTTACGAGATAAACATCAACTTCATATTTCATAAATATACCTCAAACGGTTATTTAGGTATTGACGTTCAAAAATCGACATTTAGGGCACTAAAATCTATNTGTATAGGTCAGACATGTAGATTTTTGGACGTCAATACCTAAAGAACCGTTTGAGGTATATTAATGAAATTTGAAGCTGATGTTTATCTCGTAAGTTTCAACACATGAGCCAAATTTCAAGTGTTAACGCACAGTAGTTTATGAGTGATGAGGAGTCAAAAGTGGCTGCAAGTGGTTCGTCTAAATATACGCACGGTGCAGTCCCCTCCCTGGAACTAGGCTTAACATGCTCCCGCATGTCTAGAATGTTTGCTCAATGTTGATTAAGTCGATTTTCTCCTGATGGGAACATGTAGGACAAAAATAAAATTTCCAATATTACAGACCTTCTAGAGCAGATGCCGCGAAAACTATACAAGATATAGAAAAACTTAAATATCTCACCTGTAGCAAATTGAATAAGCTTTTTTTGGTTCAAAGTAGTCATGTCACTAGGATGCATAGTTTCCGAGGATTAAGCGAAAAACCGAAAAGTGGTACCTTTAAACCCCCCTCTCCCTGCCGGCTCAAGGGCTAAGGGCGGGGACTTTTGCTATGTTCACCTCCTAACTAGTCTAAATAAAGTCCCGAAGTCAGAAATAGTGTTCCATGGATTTCCATCTATAATGCTTTATTGACTGGACTAAGTGCAATTTCTGTTGAATAGAATAGAATAGGTTTAATGACACAATAAAAAAAAAGACAATACAGAAAAAAAAACGCTGTTGCGCTTTCTATTCATGTATTCTATCATATGCCATAATTGCCATATCGAATGACAAATGATCGAAAATCAAAATATCGAATACGTTTCATCGAACGATCAAAATATCGAACGATCAAAATATCGAATGCTCAAAATATCGAACGTTCAGAATATCGAAAGATCAAAATATCGAACGATCAAAATATCGAAAGTCGATATAGACGTTTTTATTAAATTTCATCATGCATCATTTCTTCAAGTTTATAAATTTTGAGAATAATGTCCGTGGGGACCTATTATAAGCCTAGCCTGTCCCAAAAAGGAAAGTTCAGAAATGATGCGTGATGAAATTTAATAAAAACGTCTATATCGACTTTCGATATTTTGATCGTTCGATATTCTGAACGTTCGATATTTTGAGCATTCGACATTTTGATCGTTCGATGAAACGTATTCGATATTTTGATTTTCGATCATTTGTCATTCGATATGGCGTAGGTAACCCTTCTCAAACACCCGCCTTCGCCCTGTCCGTACGCGAGTCGATGTGACGTCACTGCAGCCAAGTGCGCAGTTCAGTTAACTCGATTTACTTAATATATTAT